AAAACCTCCAGATTTTTTTCTGCATTTAAGCTTGGCTTAAAGTTAGACTAGAGAATAAAAAGTGACCTGAGGTAGGGAAATGCCAAGCATTATATCGTATTATCTACAATTTGATCTTTTTATAGAAGGAAGAGTACCTGTTAAGTTTTCAGGTTGTCTGCCTCCACTTCCAGGCACACACAAGCTGATTGTGGGTACAGCTTTTACCTCAAGTGTATTGAGGGATTACCTCAAGTTGGACACTGGTAAAGACAGATAATTTGATTGCCTTCATCCTCCTTGGTGATGGGTGCTGGCTGCCACTGACCCATGATCTTATAAAGTTCAAAGATACCAGAGGAGTAACCCTTCAAAATTAAAAGTTCTCTCAGGATAAGATCCTTAATGAAAAAAATATCTCTTGTCAATCCCTGTTCCCAACAGATACTAAGACTTGTCTGGACAAATCTATGCAGGTTGGATAGATGGGGATGGATGCTTTGGGTCCTACCTCTCTCTCATCATTGTTGCCAATCTATTGTCCATCACACAGTGGACTGACTGATTTTAAGGAACTGACTAACGTGACTGGTGTTGCAGGTATGAGATCTGAGGCAGAATGGCTGGTTTGAGATCAGGCAGGGTTCCTGTGTCACCATCTTGAAGAAGAATTCCTCCTGGTAATTCTGTGTTGTTCAAGACCTTTACCTTGGATTGGATGAGGTTTACTAACCTTTATCAAGGGTGTTCTCTTAAAGAAGGCTTTTATAAATGTTTATCTTACCTACAAAACACTTGTCACTGAAACATCCACATAGCATTTGATGGAACCCCTGGCCTTCAGGCCTAGAGGAGTTGGAGTAAAGCTATTCCAATCAGCTCTTGCTAAATGCAGTAACTATGTATAATTTAATTTTAGTCATTATGCATTATGAAAACTCTGTCGTCTAGGTGAGATTGACTACATAATTCTAGTTTTTACAGGAAGTGAGGAATGCTGATGTTCAAAAGGTAGGCTTTCCTCCCTGCAGCACCTCTTAGCTAAAAATGTCACATCTCAGTGAATATAGTTAGTGAAGGAAGGAATCTAACAAGAGATAACACTTTCAGATTGTGTGAGACTCATCTGTCTTGCAGGGTGATAGCTTCTTTCAGGTTAAAGAGCACAGAGCCTATGCATCAGGAGTTTTAATGTCTGATAATTAAGCTTTAGAGAGAAATTTCAGCTAATTGCTAGGAATAAGGTGTAATTCTTAGGTGATTCTAATATCACCAGAACTGATTTCAGTTGTAGTTTAGGACAACTGGGGATGTCACTATCTTTGGGTGGAGGTAGCACAGTGAGTAACAGGTGGGACTTCTTCTCTTGTCACGGGCTACCTAGTGCCTTATTGCTTGGTGACAATGTTTCTCTACCAGCAAAATTCCACTTTATGGCAGATGAGAAGCCAAGAAATGCAGCTGAATCTGTGGAGTACCAGTTCTGTGAGAGGCATTTGGTGTGCATTATCTTAAAGCCTCTGCAAAAGTATATTGCAGTCAGCTTTGTATCTCCATTTTACATCTAGAAAACACCATATTCTTTATTTTTTTCCTTCCTTCCTTCCTTCCTTCCTTCCTTCCTTCCTTCCTTCCTTCCTTCCTTCCTTTTTTCCTTTCACATTTTCAGTGCTTCTGCCAATGTTTTGGTTTTTCAAGATAGGGCTTCGCTGTTTATTCCTGGCTGTCCTGGAACTCACACTGTAGACCAGGCTGGCATTGAACTCAAAGATCTGCCCGCTTCTGCCTCCCAGGTGCTGGGATTAAAGGCATATCTACCACCACCTGACCCAGGTGTGTGTGTGTGTGTGTGTGTGTGTGTGTGTGTGTGTGTGTGTGTGTGTGTACACGTGTGAACGTAGTGTAAGTATACTAGTATGTGGGTGCGTTACCTGTGTGTGCAGGGGGGCCAGAGGAGGATGCTCTGTCATGTTCTACCATATTCCTTTGAGACGAGGACTGTCATAATTTTGCTGTGGTAAAATACCCTAACAGAAAATAACTTAGGGGAGAAAGGGTTCATTTGGCTTATAATTCCATGTACAGTTCATCATGGTAGGAAAGTCAAGGCAGGTACCTAAAACAGCTAGTCATAACCAATGAAGAGTGGAGAGAGAATGAATGCATGCTTAGCACTTACCCAGCCTTCTCTGTTCTTACACAGCCCAGGTTCCCAGACCAAGGGAAGATGCTGCTCACTTTCAGGCTGGGTTTTCCCACATCCTTTAAGGCAGGCAGGACAATTTGCCCACAGACATGCCCACAGGCCAATCTGATCTAGACAATCCATTATTGATACAATTTTTCCAGGTAATTCTAGGTTGTGTCAGGTTGACAATAAAAACTAATCATTTCAGGCTCTTTCACTGAACATGGAGCTAGGCTGACACCCAGCAAGCTCCAGTGAGCCTCCCATGTCTACCTTCCACAGCTCTGTGGTTCAAGGTGCATGTAGCCACTCCTGGCATCCAGTGAACTCCTTTTATACTAAACATGTTTTTATGACCTGTGGAATGCTTAGTGGGCAAAGCTTAGTACAACAAAAAGAGACTCTGGTGGAAGGCAAGAACTGACATGTAGAATTGTTTTCTGACCTCGTCGTGCACAGTGTGGCACGTATGCACCTGCACACTGACGTGCATGTATGTGTATACACACACAACATATGCATACTTACAAGGATGTCAAAAAAACTTTAAATGGCATCTGTTGTTGTTGTTGTTGTTTTTTTTTTTTTGATAGAAAAGTGCACCTGTAGATGCTAGTGGAGAGAAATGCAGACTTATTAAGGCAGAACATACATGTCATAAGAATCCACAAACATTGAGTTTATACAACTCGATGGACTCTTACATATCATGTGCCTGACTGTTTCCTGCCCAGAGGTTCCCTGGTATCTTCCCAGTCAGAACCTCCTGTCTCTTATCTCTGCAGTTCTTCTCTGTGTTCTAGCTGTGTAGTGTCCTGGTTATGATTCTGCTGCTCTGTCTGTCCTTTCTCCTAATGACAGGCATTTCATTTGACATTTATAAGTGAAGATATTCTTGTACACACTTGGATAGACATTGGCTATAACCCCTGTAATTAGAGCATTTACATTTACATAAACATTTTTGCCTACCCTAGGTCATCTGAGACTAATCACAAACCAATGAGATGCTGGGGGGTGGGTAATTCATTGTAAGATGGTCCAAGGCCCCTCAGAAACCAGCAGAGCTAAGGGTCTGGCTGTGTTCTTCACACCAGCTTCAGGGTTTCTCTGCTGCACTTCATTATCTTTATGAGTAAAATACACTGTGCAAAGCATCAGTGAATCCCCAGATTATGTCATTTTAGGCAACCTTGTGTTCCTTTTGATTGACTTTTGTTTATTTGTTTGTTTTAGACCAGGGCTCATGTAACCCATACTGGCTTCAAACCACTTTGTAGTAAAGGGTGACCTTGAACTCCTAATCCTCCCCTTCTGTGATCAGACACCACATCTGGCTTTGGTTTGTTTGTTTTCTTAATTTTTGCTGCTCTAGTATTGGGGATTGGAACAGGGCTTTGCACATGCTAGACAATCTCTTTACCACTACTGTCCCAGCCAGATTTTTTTTTTTTTTCATAATCTGTAGTCATTTGATGGTGTTAGAGTCAGCCCAGTGGAAAAGCCTTGGGGTTTTGTTCTGTTCTGAGACAAAAATCTCACTTTATGGTCTAGGCTGGCCTGGAACTCCCTGTGTAGACCTGGCTGGCTTCAAACTCTGCAGCAATCCACTTGCCTCAACCTCCAAGTGCTGGGATTGCATGTGTGAGCCACCACACCCATCGTTCTGTTTTTAATGTGGGTGTTGGTAAGGGTCTGATTGTTAGCTTTTGGTCTTAACAGAGGGATAAGACTGGTAGTTCCTATGCAAGGTTATTGATTCCATTTCTCTGACCGAACCTTGTATACTTAGAGGTAGTACTGTTGATTCATTTTATAACGATCTTTAGGTAAGGAGACTCTATGTGGTAAGCCCAAGTAACGATGGTGGTTTGAGGAAGGGGAAGCATGTTGCCAAATGTCCATTCTGTTTTGCTCCACTTAGCCATATTGCAAAGAAAAAAAATGTCAAACGATGGGAGTGACCTAAGAATTTGAGAAAGCAGGCCAGTCTTCTGCTCACTGCATAAACTAGAAATTACTTGCTGTTGAAACTGATGAGGAGCGATCTGCAGAAGAGATCAGCCTAGGGCTTTGGGAAGGATAAGGAGGCAGCCCGGCCTTTAGCTGTAATCTGCTTAGGCAGGAATGTGGAGATCTGTCAGGAACTCAGCAGCTGATGTTCCAAAATTGGTGAAAGGAAACTCGGGACTTTCTTTTCCTTTTTCTTTTTCTTCTTTTCTTTTCAATTTTCTTTTTCTTTCTTTCTTTTCTTTTTCTTCTCAAAACAGGGTTTCTCTGTTTAATAGCTCTAGCTGTCCTGGAACTCTCTTTTTTCTGCTGCTCTGCTCTTCCTAGGAATTTAGCCTCATCTCAGAGATGTGCCATTCGTGTTTAATTATATATACCATGGCCATACTGTGCAGACGATCTTGTCTTAATTTATCCTTTAGTCTCACTATGAAGAAGCCTTGCAGGAGGTGAGGCAATAAGAATTGAAGTTTAGGAATGAATGTCAGGAGGCATTAGGGTTTTTCTAGATTCATTGAGGAGTACCCACCATGTTTCAGGTAGCTTATAGTGTCGTATATAGTGGGCTGTTGCCATAGAGTTTGTCATTTCTTTGGGAAGTGCTGGTTATTTGTGGCCCCATAGGGGAATATAGCAAGAACTAGCTCTACCTTTGATTCTTTTCACCCTAACTAGGTAAGTCTTACTATATAGTTCAAATATGTGGAAAATTGTCTGTGTTGGTTAATGATAATGAGTGGAAGTGTCAAGGTAGAAAATAATCATTTTAATATAATAATCAGGACAACTATGAAGATAAGAATCAAGAGCTGAGCATAGCTTATTTGTAACCTTTGACACAGGAAACCATGTGCAAAAAGCTTCATTTATCTGCAGTTGGACCTCAGTATTTTTATTAATATCACCCAGAATAAGTACATAGAATCAGTTGATACCTAAACTGTATTACAGTTTCATTCAGACTGTCTGTTTAGATTGTCTGCCTCAGATTTTCTGTTTCTGGTAGCCTTGATTCCAACTCTGCATAGGATCTAGTAGAAGATCACCAAAGAGCTATGGGAAGATCCATAGTGGCCTTAAAGAATCTCAGTCAAGATGGAGATCAGCAAGAAGTGAGGGAAAAAGCCCAGGAGAGAGATGCTGTCCACAGACTGCCATAGCTTCTGTCTTAGTGTGGAGAGCAGAGCCAGTGAGGCACATCAGCCTCACGTTTACAGTTCTGTTACCCATGTGTGAGTGGAGCCTGCTTCCAGGGACATGCTGTGGGAGACTCTGGTTTTTGGCTTGGTAAGGAGATATCGTTATGGTAGGTCTTGGGTTGTGGTCATTCCCATCATTCATAAAAATAACAGGGATTTGTAGGGAAAGCAGTTTTCATATTAGGCAAGTGAGAAAACTGTAAGTACAAGCTTTCCTTGTTGCATGCAGTCAGGGTTGAACCGGAAGGCTTGCTCACCACACAGAATAACAACAGAAAGCCATGCTTACCTCCTTCTGTTCTAGGACAGATAGGCCTTAGCCACACCCACCCCTACTTGCAGCTGTCATACACCACCATGAAGTCTAAAAGGGTTCCCTGCTATTCTGTCTTGAGGGGCAGGGTGGGAAATGGTATTCAGATAATTTCTAGAGCCACTCAGTACTTTAAAAATCTGGTATTACTCCTGGATCCTTACAGACCCTTCAAGGGTGTCTGCCTTTCAGAAGCTCTAGCTCTTAGCACACTGATGTGAAGTGTTCTCATCTGCCTGTTTTCTAGCCATTTCTCACACAAACAGCATTTCCACGGAAGATTAAACAGCCTCCCAAACTCAACCATTTTGTTCTCTGTTGACATTGACATTTGTCCTCAGCTAGGTTCAGGAAAAGATGGCTATAATCTTGCTTAATTCTTCTGCGCCTTTCAAAGGAGACCAAGAGGTGCTGGTTTTACTGGAGGGGGCGGGGCTTTATTATTTTCTTAACCTGGACATGCCAACATACCCTGTGGAAGAAATGGCACCAGGTGTACGCCATCAATCAACCAGTCACCTCCTTACCAAGCACTGATGTTTCCCCTTCTCACAGAACTCTGTCTGGTGATGAGTTAGTGTGGACTATCAAACCTCAAAACTAACCCTCTTGTTTAGAGACGAAAGAGCTCCTGTGTTTCAGAACCTCCCTCCATTTGCCTGTTATTTTCATCAGAAAAGACACAAATAATCATTTTATTGTCATGACCAACTTCTTGTTTATAGTTCCTGGCTCCCAAAGACAAAGCAAAAGAAGATGCAGCAGGACTTGAAGAAGGTGGCGATGTGGATGATTTAGTAAGTACTTTTAATATGCACCAGGCGTTTAAAGATAGAATTGTCTAAGCTGTAAATACAGCCACAAAACCCATCATTGTAGACTTGTTTTTTTATTTGTGTGTTAATTTCACACACACCAGACGCTCCTTGCACTGTTAATTATTACCATTACAATTAATTATTACCATTACAAATTTAATTGTATAGGTAATTTCATAATGGGGTTCCCTGAGTTCTGCAGCTTCAATTATAGTATTCATTTGGATTAATCCTCCCCTCTGAAGAACTAAAAAAGAGCCAGGGAAGTTAGTCCCTCAGTAGAAAAAATATTATAATTTACCGAAATTGTTCTTAACCAAAAGTAAGCAGTGTAACATGCCATTTGTGTGGGTTGACAAATACAAACATCCTTTAAAAAGCCCACTTCTTTAGTGTTCTCAATTAGCTTAATATAAACAAGGCAGACGGATAGGCATTTGAAGTTTCCTGGACCTCATCACAACCCACTGTGGGTGCCTGGGAAGCTGTGCAAATGTGGGCTTTTGCAGCCATCACTCATGTTTGGGAAAACTGTGCCCTTCAGCCAGCCTCACATGAAAGCTGGAGTGACGACCGCATAGTATGGTATTAGCCTTTTTGTGGAGAAGTTTTTGGGGCTAGAATGAGGAAATATTTGGTGTTGAGGTCCGAAAATAGTTGGCAGAGAAAACCTGAATGGGTGTGTGTGGCTATCAGGACAGCTTCTGTTCAACCTGTCACCAGAGCCTCAGGTTTGAGGGCAGCTGGTTCCCTTCTAAATATGTTGTTCTCATTTTCAGCTGGATATGATATAGACCATGGATGTGTTGGGAATCTAAGCATGCCGTCTCTACGTTGCTGAGAGCTCAGACAGAGCATCCTGGAAGCCATTCATGGGGACCTGAAGCTCTGGCGATCAGCAGACAGCTCAGGAGCAAATCACCCCAACTTTCTACAGAATGACCACATCCACATATATTACAAGGGGTAACTTAGACCCTATCCAAATTTATAAAGAGTCACTATTTTTTGATTGGCATATTGTTTCTTGTGTGAAGCCTTATTCTTTTTGGTATATTATACACATAGATTGAAGTTTCTGGAAAGTAGACCTCATCCTGTCCTGGTATGTCGGTGAGGAATGCAGTCCTTGTGAGGCTATTAGACACTCAGAGAGCCCTGGCACGACCCCAGCCCTGCTCAGGCGTCAGGTCTGCCAGCAGCAATAACTGATGCAGAGGATGCAGTAGTGTTCAGTTTTTATCAAGTGAGTTGGAAAAGTCACAAGTAATGACTGACCCAGTTCTCTTAAGCATCTTCACCACCACTTTAGCCCATATTCTGGTGGCTCTCCTTTGACAGAGTCGGAAGGGGAGCACAGTTGCCCTGAACAAGCATGTTAGCTTGGGAATAACAGTGTTCTCATGAAGAGAAGGCCTTTGTGCATCCCGGTCTCTGCCATATTGGAAAACTCTGGGGAGAAAACCAAGGCTTGAGAAATTCATTGTCAGTGGTTAGAATGTGTCATTGCACTGGTCTTCACTTACAGGCTTCTTTCTGTCTTTTCTCTGCCTAAGTCAACTTCTATACATCTGGATGTTTCACTTCCCCAAGCAAAGCACTTATTTTCTTTCTTCTGTCCACATTCCTTTCCCAAGTTCTTATTTTCCTTCCTTGATAGCCTCAACCATCATGTGTCAACACCCTGTAAATGGTCATGGGTGGACTTCATTAGTGGATGGCTTGGTGGAGGCATGAATGGCTCATCCCCCTGTGGACCACTGCTAAGTATATGCAAAAGTATGTCCAGTGCTGAAAACTAAATATGGTCCACTCATGAACTGAAGATTGTATCCCCAAAGTGGGTGTCACACTGCCCAGGAGACAGTAGGTGGTGCAGTTCCCATTGGGCCTTTGGGGTCTTCCCCTTGATAATCTGAACACTAGAGTCAGAATTGATGTTCAGGTGCCCTCTACCTCCCCACTCCCCCTTTTGAGACAAGGTCTCACTATGTAGCTCTGGCTTTCATGGAACTCCCTAGGTAGACCAGGTTGGCCTCAGACTCAGAGATTAGCCTGCCTCTGCCTCCTGAGTGCTGGGATTCACCACACCTGGGTCAAGTACTCTTTTAAAGCATTCCCAGCAAGGACAGCTGAAGGCCAGGGGATGCATGTAACAGTCTTCGAATCACAGCGAGAGCTTTGTTCCTCAAAGTCTGTGATGCACAATTTCCACCTCCTCCTGGACCATGACTTGGTGTGACCCTGTAAGTACCTTTGGCAGTGTGGGGAATTCTGTCACATCAAACCAGAAAAAGTTTGAGTCAATTTAGCCTTACAGATTTGTGACAGCTTTCTTTTTAATTAGGTGTATATGTGGGTATGCACATGTGAGTCCAGGAGCCTGCAGAGACCAGAAGAGGACATTGGGTCCCGTGGAACTGGAGTTACAAGTTGTGAGCCACCCAGTGTGGGTGCTAGGAACTGAACTCAGGTCATCTGCAAAAGTACTTATGTGCTCTGAACTGCTAAGCCATCTTTCCAGCCCCTCCTTGTGATGCTCGAGAGATGAGAGGGAGAAATGAGAAAGGACTGAATTACATGTTATTTCTAAATCCATTTCATGTAGGCACAGTGACATTTGCTTGTTGACTTCATGAAGCATACTATTGTGAGTAGGCAAGTTGTGTTTTGGATGAATTTAATTTCCATGAAACAAGCTTTGCAGATCTACAGAACTCCTAGGTTTTCTGCTGACATCTTGCCTTGGAAAGCAATAAGTACTGAGCTGCCGTCTAATGGGGAATGTACTTCTGTGTATGTTCATCTTACTGGTTTTGAATAAAGTACTGTTTGGCCAATGAGGCGGCAAGTTAGACGGGACTAGGAGTCAAAGAGGATTCTGGGAAATGTAGTAAAGAAGGGGTGATCCAGGCAGGAAGTGCCATAGCATGGAGACTCATATTTAAGGAAGGACAAGCAGGAAGTGGTCCCTTTCCCTCCGCTCTTCCTCCAGTTTCGAGATATGATCCACTGGCAAGGGAGGACACTGATGGAAGGCATCAGATAAGATAAGTCTTATAAAATATATAGATTTATGATAATTAAGACTGAGCTAGCAGATGAGAAATCCTAGTCATTGGCCAAGCAGCATTTGTACCTAATACAAGTCTCTGTATTATTTTGTCCATTCATGTGGCAGAACTCAGGCGGCTGGTGGAGACCGCCCATATGGTGATAGGGCTTGGGCTGCTTTTGGCGGAAAGATTTATCATAACAGCCGTCCATCAGTCACAGACTAGTCCCCAGAAGCTCAGCATTCTCACATGTTGGAGGCTTGAATGTGAACTGAAAGTCACGGAACGCCTTTGGTCTCCCATGCCACTGAAGGTTATTGACTTTGAGAGGCGGTCCAGAAAAATGAGAGAAACTTAACTCATACCTTCTCATATGCCCTTTTAAGGGCATGCGTCTCACTCTACCCATCCCCATTAAGATCACGATTTTAAATGATGCTTATGACTCTTTGACAGAATTTTTAATCTTGAAAGTGTGTTAGGGGCTGAATACTTTTTGTTTGGTTTTTTAAAGATTTATTATATTTTTATGTGTATGAGTGTTTTGTTGACTTGTGTATCTGTGCATCACATGTGTGGATTGCCCAAGAAGGCCAGAAGAAAACTTGCATTCCCTGGGACTGAGTTACAAAGATTTGTAAGCTGCTGTGTGAGTGCTGAGAATCAAACGCTGGTGTTCTGGACCCGGAATACTTGCAGGGAGACAACAAGAACAATGTGAAATGATGGCCAAGGGAGAAAGGGCCTCAGACAGGCTCTCTGCTGCTCACTAGACCTGGCGGCACACCCGTCACTGCTCATCTCAAAGCGAAATACACGTGTTCGTTCATTTATTGAAAAATCATCCTGGTCCTTAGTTGGAAAAACAAAACAAGGGCTGGTGAGATAGCTCAATGGCTAACACTGGCCTCTGCTCTTCCAAAGGACCTAGGTTTGATTCCCAGCACTGGTCACCTTGTCCTGCCTGTCAGGTTAGGTGCTATGAGGGGTGCAGTGGGGGTTCAGGAGTCGTGTGCTGCTTGCTGCAGCGCCTCTGCCAGGTTACAGGGACAGCTGCCTCACAGGCTCACTGGGTGGGAGCATGCCCTTGGGAATATTCTGCAAGTGCTAACCACAGACCAGGTGGTTTCATGAGTGTTCTAGCTAGAAAGCACGGGCAGGACACATGAACTCTTTTTACATAAAAAATTTAATTACGTTTGTTTGTGTATGTATCCACGAAGGAGGTTAGAGGGCAGATTGCAGGTATCTGTTCTCTCCTTACATCATATGGATCCTGCAGATTGAGTTCAGGGCATCGGGCTTGGTGTCAAGCACCTTGACATGCTGAGCCAAATCTCTGGCCTGACAGATAGACTTTTTAATAGGTCTGACTCTTGCTTACATCCATCGTGTTTCTTTCGGGGTCTGAATCTTCCAGTGTTGGCTTTCAGAACCACCTGTGGCTATTTGACATGGGACCACTTATCTAGTTATTGCATGAAAAATTAAAGTCTATGTGATCAAAGGTAGGACATAGAATATGCTTTGGTAGTTTTGACAAGGTGACCAGTGAATTGTCTTGGCATAATGTGTCCTCTTAAACTCTCACAAGTGTCCTAGTATGGACTCTAGGTGATATGGTACCCTAGGTTTTGATTTGGTTAGTATTGCAACCCGGGCCCAAGAAATGGCAATTTGTTGATTGCCCCTCGCCCATGGAGCAAGTTGCACAAGGAGCTAACAGCAAAGTGGAAGTCACTGTGCTGCTTTCCAGACCCCAAGCTTTGGAGCAGTTAGATTGTAGCTCATGGTTATAGGTTGAAGTGTGCCTGTAAGCTGCACAGAGCAAAGCCACTTTGCTGAGCCTGCTTAGGCGTGGGGCCTGGCTCTCTTTCCTGATTTCCAGAATGGAGCACAAAGTAGAAATAGGACAGTGTTTAACTCAAAATGATCTAAATAGCCCAGCTACCCGCCACATTTGGAATTCTTCCCCATAGCTGCCCAGCTTCCTCTTCTTCACCTTTTGACCTTCGTGTAGCTTTGTCCACCTATCAGAAGTGTAGAGTTGCAATCCCTGCTCAGTTTTTGGGGTCTTGAGATCATTTTGGAAAGAAAGTGCCCTCTTTTTCCATTTAAGAATAATTCATAACTAATCACTCCAGAGGGGTAATGACATAGTGTTCCAAACTGTGACTCACATGCTAGCGTGCCTGCTGAATCTCAATGCCACAGGCACTTAACAGCTGTGAGGCAAAGCAGGTCCCTTCACCTCTGTGAGCAACGAAGTTAACACAATCTCTGCATCTCAACTATGGCCACAATGCCTGGAGAGGACAGAATCTTCTGTGTGAAAGGGGTTCAGCGGTGGCTATGCAGTGGCTGCGTGAAAAATGGGAACAGGTATGGCCTGCTGTGTAGAGGAAGCAGCCCCAGAAAAATGTCGCATCTTCAATACACACATTCTCCAAGCCCACCTACCTTTGCCACGCAGTATCGAATAGGTAAGGGAACTGAAGGGCCATTGACACACCTGGGATGAGGTTAGTGGCAATTATTACTATTTAGCATGCTAAAAATTTTATTACTGGTAGGGTTCATGAATGTACACTGTTAACAGGAGAATGACTTTGACAAACCAGGGAAATAAAACTTACTGTGGAACAGAGCTCTCCATTTAGAAACAGATCTGATTTGTTGGGTAGATGTTTTGATGTCCTACTTGAGAGTAGGGGTGGTGACAGGGTCAAGAGGCTCGTGGAAGGAAGGTGGCACTCCGGAGGGGCAAGGCAGTAGCCAGGTGTTCTGAATGGTTTCCAGCCTTTGTGTTAGTG